TCACCAGAATTTTGATTTGAAGAGGAGATGTATATATATGCGTGTGTGTATCTTAAAACAAAATTCTGCTTGGAATCAAAATTCTAACACGATTCTGCTGAAAAAAAATAATTCTCAGCAGAATTTTCAGAGGAAAGAAGGGTGTATGATAAAACACAATTCTGCTGGAGAAACATAATTTTAAGTAGAAGGGGTTGTTTACTATAGCATTACATGATTGTGTATATGATAAAATAAAATTCTGCAAGGACATCAAAAGTCTAACACAGTTCTGTTGGAAAAACATAATTCTAAGCAGAATTTTGATTTTGAAGGGGAGATATGGATATATGTGTATATGATTGGATATATGTATATATGATAAAACGAAATTCTGGTAGAAGATCAAAATTCTATCTCAATTGTGTTCTAATAACGTAATTCTGGGCAGAATTTTAATGTTGAAGAAGAGAGAAGAGTATAAAATGAATTATATAAACGTATAAGAGAAATTTAATCAAATAGCAAAATTCTTGAATTCTGCTTGCGATGAATTCTGCCACTGCTGGTTCATCTGACTAACAGCGATTCACGTTTGCTCTTTCTGGAGCTATAGTCGATATTCATAAATGCTAAACAATTTCTGAGAGTATTCGAACCATGTGTTACTAATATCAAGGTCAAATGAAGCATTTTATCATTAATTTCGTTCAAATTTGAAGTTGTTTTTATAGTCGTTCCATCTGTCTATGCAAATGGCCGTTTCTTGTTTCATGTGCTAGTCAGAAATTGAAACAAAATCGAATCGAATTTGAAGAAAGATTTTCTCATTTATTTCTGCCTCCGATATCAATTTAGACTTGGTATCGCTGCGGGTGTGAGTGTGTCCGTGAGAGCACACAAAAGGTGTCTACTTGTACTCACACCTCACATTAAAAATGACTCGTATTTCTAGATTTTAATTATCAAGAATTGATTTACATTGAAAATAAGCATAGTTTTCGGAATTAGCATGCAAACATATATCAGAACCTCTACATTTCATCGTGAAATACCTGTAATCAAAACGTTTGCATCATTCCTAGTCATCTTTTTATTCGTTCAAGTTTTGTGTGCTGATTCCAAAAATGATGCTTGCACTCAATAAAAATCAATTTTCAATAATGGATTTCGAGTGTGATTGTGGTTGCGAAGGAAACTCACATATATACATGTACACCCCACACTTGTTATCTTTTTTTAAATTTTATATTCAACTTTCTACGACCCAGGAATGTGAGCCACTGTAAATTTTCCTTATCTAGAGAAGTATATATAGTTTTGTTGAGAAACTTGTTAACTATAACATTAAGCTTTCTTTTTATCATCTTAATGAATTCAAGTATCGTCGATAGATATGTCTTCTTTTGTCATACATCGTGGGCGTGAAGTTATCAGATGTGATTCTGAATCGATTTTCTAGAAAATGTACCAATAGATCCGATGTATCTCAGCTAAACAAATGGTTTTAAATCACGTGAGAAAATCTAGTTAAAAATCTAAAATAAGAGTGATTCTGTACTAGATTATATAGGAGCAGAGCACGAAGTCATCTCTTTTAAAGCGTACCTTAGAAAAATATCCTTTTCAAGACATCAAAGCATTGATTGTCTACAATATAGTAGGTATAAAATGGACGTAATTATTTGAGATAATTTTTTAGAGATTGGAATGAGAAATCTTTGAGGTTATACTTAGTTCTCTGTAATAAGAACTGCCCAACCACGATATTTATATCACATAACAATAAGTTGAGAAAAAACAACAACGATAATTTTGAATAGTTCACTAGTTTAGTACTTTATTGATCGACCTCAGAGAATTCTTCTATCCGTGCCAATATTGTCAAGGTAGATCTATCTGGTCGAAGATTGAATTATAATCAAGAAAAAAAAATTATTTGTTGCTATTGATTATTCTGTTTATTACGAGTTTGATCGGTTACCGATTTTGTGAGATTCCAGTTGAATTGAATCCATCTATCTGCGAAGATATGTACGGTTGAAAATTGATATTCTACGGCTATGACAGAGATATGCTCAATGCAATTCTGGCTCGAATATTAACAGCAGTAATGGTTGCATATGGAGACTGTTCGAGTTTAAAATATTGACAGCTGTTTTCTCTGTTTTACTAGGCTCTTGATGAATTTCATTGTCAGTGACATGATTTGTGCTGAACAATCTTGTAACACCCACTAACAAGTACTGACGTCAATCATAGACTCGTTTCAAGTACTTTTTAATTAAATTATGACACTATTTTTTCAAGATAGTACGGATTATAACGACGTCAAAAATCATGCTTTTCAGATACTCACCGAGAAAAACATCTGTTGCAATATTAAATACGAAGATATCAATGACTTATATAGTCGAGAATCAGCGTTCGTGTCAAACTAGTATCAGTTCACTACTATGTATCTTCTTTTCTTTTTGCTTCTTGTCTTTCGTGCTTCGTCTACAAATGTTCAAATAGTTGGTCTCTTTCCTAAAAACTACTACAATGACACGCGTAGATATGATTCACAACAACAGTCTATGGAGTGGTACAAAGATTGTGCGGCAATATTTCAAGCTACCATTTCTGTTGCCAATCAGCGTGGTTTCCTTGTAGGCAACTTATCAATCTCGGCCATCGTTTTAGAATTCAGCGAACAAGATCTAGGAATCGAACAGCTCAATCGCTTGTGTCAATGGATCACTAATGGAACTTTGTCTAGCATCGTTGGCATTATCGGTCCGAGTACTTCGACTGTGGTTCCAGTGCTTGCGCCATTTGCTGCTCATATGAATTTGCCGATGATCTCTTATGCAGCTAGACGAGCTGATTTATCCGATACAAAAATATATTCTAGTTTCTATCGAACTGTGCCATCGGATGAATTACTTGCCAAAGCTATCATTCAACTTTTCGACTACTTCTCATGGAAAACGTGCACAATGATTTTCGAGAAAGACAATAATGGATATTGGGGTTTTGATTTTTTGACAGAGAACTATAGTAATAATTTGACCATCCGAGAACGAGTGACATTCGATTTGTCCTCAAATCAGTTTCATACCAATTTGAAACGAGCATTATATGCTAGTCGAACTCGTATTGTTCTTGTGTGGGCCCTAAAAAATGCATCAACTCGCATTCTTCAGCATGCTTTGAACGAAGGATTAATCGGAGGATCATACATTTGGGTGTTCACCGAGAAGGTAACAAATAATCACATTGACTTTCGAGGAAAACTTCTGAAATGACTTATCACTTGTAAGCTGTGACTATATTCAATCAATAAGACATAGAAAAGAGGTAAAATTCACTTGTCTGGTAGAATCATGCTTCTGAATTCGAAATCTAAAACTTTGTCTACATAAAGGCATTAATTAGTAGACTAACTTGTAAAAAGAATTTCAGCACTTTTTTTGATAAAGTTTTCTCGAAATATGAATTTTTCAAAGCAAAGGTGCTCTTCTGTCACTATTGTGAAAAAACAAGATTATTTTGAAAAATTCATATATCGAAGAGATTTTTTTAAAAAGAAGTTTGAAAGCGTTTTTGCAATCTAGTCTAATTGACGTCTTTATGATTTAGATAAAATTTTAAATCATAGTTCGCAAGCATGATTCTGTTTGAAAACTGGAGCCGCCGCGAAAAGTGCACTAAAAATTCGGTATCACAGCAAGAAAGACTAGCAGCTTGAATCACTCTTGAGTATTTACTCGCTCCATTTGCCCTATCGATTGAATATAATCACAGTTTAAATCTGAGTGATCATTTCTAGAGGTTCTCTTGTTACAATGTAAATAATTCTGTGTTCGCATATATCTTGCAGATCGACCTGAATGAAGTTCAAAATTCAAATAATTGGCATTTACTCGAAGGCCTACTCAGTGTTGTACCAATGATTGTACCTCGTAAAACTATTAACCTAGAGCTCTTATCTGAAATAGAAGTAGCCTGGAAAAATTTGTCGATGGACAGTCAAACCTTCCTGAAAGAGTATTCTCAGAGAAATCCGTATACAATGTTTACTGTCGATGCAACATGGGCATTGATTGAAGCACTGAATAAGTCTTCAGTTACCACACCGCAGTTTCTGCCGTCCTCATATTGTTTCAACAGCTACCTGCATAACGCAAGCGATTATCACCAATCATTAAAAGAAACCAACTTTTCAGGTGTATCGGGTCGTGTTCAATTTTCGAGTAATACATCAAATAACAGAGCAGGCGATGCTTATTATGCACTCAAGAACATTCAGTGGACACAGTTCAACAAAAACAATACGTCGAATAACGTAGTGACTTATAAGACTGTGATGATTTGGAATGAGGCATATTCGAAGTGGTTAAATAACACAACACTATTACCTTTATTCAAGATTGTGTGGCCGAATAAATCTCAAGTGGTACCTAAAGAACATGCAAGTATT